TACATGCTTCGGCATATTAAGTCCTTCTAAGACTTTCATACTTATATCATTTCAAATGAATAAATAAATTATGATCACATTCATTAAATGCATGCATATGAATATTTTTCATATATTTTTTGGATTGATGAGATAATAAAATATAATTGCATCCATTATAGGAGAATATGTCTCCTCATAGTCAATGTTAGTTCTTTACAAAAACTCTTGTGTTGAAAGTTTTACTTTGTATCTTGCAATCTCATCTTTCTTATTTCTTTTTCGCATAAATACATATTTGTATTCCACTAACTTAACATCTTCGGGTGTTTTAGCTATGGGTTCAAAAACTACTCTTTTGTAGGAGAACATAATTACTGCTGGATTGCTCTTTTCATTTAGGCCAATAATCTTTATATCAATATTCTTCAATAATTTAGGCTCGGGATCCTTATTTTCATTCAAAATATCAATTGTAACTTAACATACAAAAATCTTATCAATAAATATTTCTCTTCGATCCTATTTTCTCCCTATATTAACATAATTTATCAAAATCTTTTGATTTTTCTCAAGCATTTGGACTTATTACGGAAGCCTATTAGCATAAATATTTTGGACCATTTTGTGAATATTTACATCCTTTATATTTTCATCTTGTCCTTTTCTTTTAAGGATTTTTATCTTTAGAATCGATCGAGTCTTCCACGCTTCGGGTGTGCTTTAAATTTGTTAGCTATAATATTAATAGACTATCCTTCTAGGACATCAATTCTAATAGAAGCATTCTCAACAAGGGCATGCCTTTTATTTACTCTTTTAGGATATGAGAATACATCTAGCGAGTTAGTTTATAATACCTTGTAAATGAATTATCTTGTGAACTTCTAGTTCACATTGTTTTATACCAAATTGATAGAAAGATAGAGTACTCTATGTAATATTTTTTTTCCAATATTTTCAACTACTTATTTTGTTTATTCTCTCCTCCTAATGTTGAAAAAATTATTTCATCAAAATGATAGTTGATAAATCATGCTGTAAAAATATCACCGATTCATGATGCAAGATATTTAATTATCGAAAAGGGTTTAAATCCAACATATATTCTCAATCTCCTTTAAGTACCCATTTTATTTCTTTATGAAAGAGCATTATGGATATACACTATAACGTCAAAAATTCTTAAATAAGAAATATTTGACTCATGACCATAAATCAATTGAAGAAGAGAGAATTTCGATAACTTATGGGTCATATGGGAATAAGTGTTCGTTGCATGTAAGATTGCATGTCCCTAAACATAAACAAGGAGTTTTATTTTTAAATAATGGTTTAGCTATCAATTGGACCCTTTTGATAAATAATTTTGCTAAACCTTTCGAGTATGAACATAAGCAACAAGATGTTCAACTTTTATTCTAATAGCAATCAATAATAATCAAATGCTTGAGAAATAAATTTATCGGCATTATCAAGGTGACTTATTTTAATGGCATAATTTGAAAATTATGCTCGAAATTAAGTTATTTGCTAGCAATCTCGAAAACATTAGGTTTCGAGTAGATAATAAGTATATATGTGATCATTTTGTGGATGCATTTATCAAAATCGTAAAATGTTTAAATGGTTCACATGGTGGATGTTGATCCACATATATCACCTTGAATACATTCTAAAATTCTGAAGATTCAATCTAAATTTTACTTGATGATGGCTTAATCATCAATTTACCTTGGCAACATGCGGAATATGAAAGTTCATTAAATTGAAGAATCTTACGGCTCTTCAATAGATATTCAAATAAATTTTTTAATAATTTTTTCGCATCATGAAAGACCCAAGATAACACAACTGGTCATGTCATATAGTAAAAGTATTTGAATTAGTAAACTTCTGGTTTACTATAATATTTGTTTCAATCATTTCAATATTTGTAATAAAGACTAGAAGAGAAAACGGATAAATTTTTTGATAGATATTTTCTACCCGATATAATGATTATAACATATAAGTATTCATATTTGCTAACTTGATATGATATCAATTCAAATGAATATCTTTGAAACTCAACAAATTTCTATGAGACTTTGAAGAGAATAGTAAATCATTCATAATAAATTTATCCTTTCGGATAATAACATATTTGCTTTTCTAGAGCATTTAAATTAGTCACTTCAAGTAATAATATATCGACTCTTCTAGAGCTTTTAAATATTTTTCTTCAAGTAATAATTTATTCACTCTTCTAGAGCTTCAAAAATTTATCTCTTCAAGTCATGATATAATCGCTCTTCTAGAGCCTTCAAAATCTATCTCTTTAGATAATAATATAGTCGCTTTTCTAGAGCTTTCTATTAGATTGATATTATCATATATAATATTAACATAAAATAAATAATGAAATAAATAAATACAAAATAAATAAATCAATATATACCTCCTAAACATAAACAAATAAATAATAGTAAAATAAATTTATAACCATCAATATATGACATAAATTATAAGAAAAATAAAACATTTCATTTATAAATAGAAAAACTAACAAGTAATTAATTTCAATTACTATTACTTTGATATATAAAAGTGGCCTTCATATTTTACTCTTTATTTTTCAATAAGGCTTGACAAGCCTTAATGAGGTGCTTTGGTATACGACAGGTATACGATCAATATTCATTTTTTTCACATCTATAATATTTATTTTTATTTCTTTTTTTCATAGTTATCCACTTCGGTGATGAGATGTAATATTATGGTTATTACGATTATAATGATAATTATTTCGACCATATCCATGGCTATGACCACATCTTCATCTATGTATAAAATTATTATAAATTATCATATTCACTTTAGGGAATAGAGTAGATCCGAGTTGGATGAGATTTATTTTTTTTCATTTTATTTAGTCGCTAACAAGTATAAAATCGATCCAAAATATTTTTTAAACTCTTTTTCTCGATATGCTATCGCATCGAGCATATCCAAGATATAAAAAGTAAAGAATATTTTTCAAAATCAAGCATCGATAATCAATAATTCTTATTCAAAATATCAAGAGTTACCAAATCAAGTTTATGAGGTTTGATATGATAAAAATTCTATAATATAATATATAATAATAATATTAGAAAATAAGAACAAATATAATAATAAAATTAAAGCTTTTCAAATAACATATATTAGATCATTTAAGTTTTTCAAATATATATTTCATGTATCAATAAATTTAAAGTACATGAATAAATTAGATACATATCTTTTAATGATCTAAATAATTTAGATCATCTAGTAGAGCACTTGTGTAGAAGAAATTCAATTATTGAAACAATTGATTAAATTTTTTGGTAGATACGTACCTCATGGTCAATTGTCTCGATTGGTTAGAGCTTCGTGCTGATAACGTATTATAAAATAAATAGAAATAATAGAAGAATTGAAGAAAATGATGACAAGAAAATAAAATCACTATAATATGAATATAAGTGATAAGAACTTCAAAGTTTCTCTTATTCTCTTTAGAAAACTTATACACCAACTAATGAACAATCAAGCCTATTTATAGGCTTCAAAATTAAAGAGAGAATTGAAATGGACTATGAATAATCAATTGCATCACCCTTTCAATTTCTCATATTGAATGATGAATTGAATCATATTAAGAATCATGAGTAGTAGGAATATGAAAAGTGGATGAACATGATGATGAACATTCATTATTTTATAACATATTGGATTTTCTTTTTCATTTTTCTTTTTATGGGCATTTGATAATGGAATTAAGAGGCCAAGAGGGAAATGATATCCAACAATTAATGCCATATTCTTCTAATGGTACCTAACTTGTTTTCTTTTTTTTTTTTGGTAAAAAACTAGATAAATAACAAAAATTTAAAATCAATTCAACAAAATAAAAAAATAAATTTAAAAACTCTAATTTTTTTTCTATATTGAGTATTAAATACAATTTATAAGAAAAAATAAAAGAAAAAGGAAAGAGATAGAGAATATATATATATATATATGCAATACGAAATTTTTATTAAAATAATTTACCGTTTTACATAAATACGAGAAAGTTTGATTTTCTTCTGAATTTTGTGGATAGTCTAGAAATGTTTTTTAGAGATTAAAAGAGAACAAGTGTTCTAGTCAATTTTTCTAAAAAAAATATTCGCGTCCAAATGAGAAATGAGCTTCCTTTTATAGAAGAAAGAAAGGCTGTCTTGAATAGTGATGAATAACATCTCATGTAAGTGAACGAGTAATGAACGAGTGAGACGCCGAAAGGTGTTTTGTCCTTGCATTCACATGGATGAACGGTGATACGTCAAAAGTGGTTTTTTATAGCAGTAATTCCGTTGACCATAGAAGCTTCGGTCTTACCTTTAATGGTCATTTTAGAATATATATATATAGGAACAATTTGAATTATAAAATAAATCCTTTGACATTAAAATATTATTAATTTTTTGAATAATAATTGCATAATTAATTTTATTTTTAATCAAATACTAATTTATTTGACTTTGATATTATTAACTAAAACATTCACTCACATAGACAACGACATTGTTAAACACTGAGGGCTATCCAAGGAAATTCACTTACATTTCGTTTTTGTTATCATTTTAAATTCTAATTCTAAAGAGTGTATTTAAAATCGTCTCAAGATAAATTTTTTTTTAGTTAAAATGTAAATTGACCTAAAAGTGCTTGTAGTGTTAAAAAAAAAACCTAATTCAAAGATAACTATTATCAATCTTTTTTGGATTCTCTTGGCTCAAATTCTCATACTAATTCCTCATTGTTATATCAAATGCACAAGCTGAGGATAGACAGATGGCTACTTAAAGAATCTTTTGTATACATAAAGCTTTGAATTTGAAGCTAGAGCCCACTCCACTCAATCCAACCCTCTTATGTGACTATTATAAATATTTAGTAAGTAAAATTTATATGATACTTATATGGTATTTTTAGTTTCAGTATAAGTTTATTGTCTTCAATGGGATATGAGAGGTAAAACTCATCTTAATACATAAAGTCTAGTCCAAAAACACAGCTTAAAAATAACAAATATAAGAGTCATGGACCCGTTGCCCTGTTGTCTAATTCGTTTTATGCGGTTTGGAACAAACTTTGCAATGCCATGCCAGCACAAACGTGACATTCCAAGACAAATTTGTCTACAAATATTTACCTAGCTAATTCTCCTCCTGAGGCTACAACAAAAGCTGTCTAGATTCACTTTGCTAACAACGTTTAAGAAACCATAACCTCACCATCTTTTTGCCTACAAATCATCATAAACTAGTGAGTTAGGCCTTTTGAATTAAAGGTATGGCAGAGGTTGATCCAGCTTTCATTCAAGCTCCGGAGCATAGGCCAAAACCTGAGATCATCAAAGCAGAATGAATACCCTTAATTGATCTTTCCATAATCAGTTCTCCTAACACCAACTTAAACGATCCTCATGCACTTAATAGTCTTGTTGAGGAAATAGGCAATGCATGCAAAAGTTGGGGTTTTTTTTAAGTGATCAATCATGGGGTGCCACTGGCTAAGCGACAAAACATTGAGAAAGCATCAAGAGAATTTTTTGGTCAGCCTGTAGAGGAGAAAAATAAGGTTAGGAGAAATGAGGAGAAAGTGTTGGGTTATCTTGACACTGAGCATACCAAGAATGTCAGGGACTGGAAAGAAGTGTTTGATTTCACTGTCCAAGATCCAACTATTTTTCCAGCCTCATACAAGCCTGATGATAAGGAATTAACCAAGTGGTTTAATCAGTGGCTTGAATATCCTCCTAAACTAAGGTATATATATAACATTAATTAGTTTCTTGTTCTTTTTTTTTTTTTTATTAAGGTGAAAATTTAGTTCTTATTTTTATTTACACACAATTTAAAGGTTGAATTACCCTAGAAAGTGTTATCATATTCCAAGTTGTTTAATCAGTGGCCTTAATTACTCTACATAATCTGACACAATTCAATGAACAGAGAGATCTGTGAAGAGTATGCTAAAGAAAAGGAAAAACTAGCTTTCAAATTGATGGAGCTAATAGCCCTGAGTCTAGGCTTGCCAAAAGATCGGTTCCTTGAATTCTTCGAAGAACAAAATAGCGTCATTAGGCTCATCCACTATCCACCTTGCACAATTCCCGACCTTGCACTGGGCGTTGGTCGACACAAGGATGACACTACCTTGACCATCCTTGCTCAAGATGATGTTGGAGGGTTGGAAGTGAGGAGGAAAACAGATGGAGAGTGGCTTAGGGTCAAGCCAATCCCAAATTCCTGCATCATCAATGTTGGTGACATTGTTCAGGTAAATCATTTTCCAAACTCGCAAATTAACAACTTAATCAATGTCATTGTTTGTAAATGTTAATATTTTTGTAGGTGTGGAGCAATGACATTTCTGAGATTGTCGAGCATAGGGCGATGGTGAATTCTGCAAGGGAAAGATTTTCCATTCCTTATTTCCTTAGCCCGGCGCACTAATCTAATGTTCAGCCTCTAAAGGAGCTGATAAATGAGCAAAACCCTGCCAAATACAAACCATACAACTGGGGGAAATTTTCTGTCACAAGAAAACGTAGTAATTTCCAGAAGCTTGATGTTGAGAACATCCAAATTTATCACTTCAAGATACCCGAATCAGAGTTGGCAGAAAAATTGGATGGAGCATTGCCCATTAACAAGTGATACTATGCTGCTGCCTATAAAGAATGTTACCTCTGTGAAAATAAAAAATTAACTTAATTTGGAGACATGGCGTGTCCCTTCCAAGAGATTCATTAGTACTCTGTATGAAAGTAATGGAATTTTCCTACGAAAAAAGGAGAATAATGCAACCTTTACCGCTTTATTCATTATTGTTATTTGTAGAAGTTCGTTTATAAATGAAAAAAAAAGGGAAATTTTTTGTTAGAATCAAAAGCCCAAAAAAAAAAAAAAAAAAAATGATACAGAGTTAGTAGAAGGAAAAAGGCAAATTTTTGTAAAGGAATTGAGATGCAGACGGCATGGCTTTTGAGTCTTCCTACTTTATAGTAAATACTCTTTATTCCCTGAATTAATTTTTTTTTTTTTTTTTTTGCAATTAAATCCTTATGATTCAAATGGTAAAATCAGTCAAACTTATTCAAACAATTTAAAAGGTTGATGGGTACGTAGGATTTGTGTAATAGTTAAAGATGTTTGCTCATATTTTTTTAACTTTCTGGATTCAAAATTTAAGATAATTAGCATATATGAGAATTTATTAAACACAAAGATTAATAATCTAATCCTCAAAAGTTCTCCAAGAGAGAATTGGATTACTCTTGTGGAGTCATCAAACTCGATCTCAGACTACTCACAGCAGTTACTAAATTCCTTTTTGTCACGTGACTTAAGAATTAAACTTCTTTCAATTTAGTATTCACATGATATGTCAAATTAGTTTCATCTTAATCTTTTAAATTTTAATAGATGGTTAGGAACATTTCATATCTTTATTTACTTTGAAAATAGTTTTGCTAAACTGTTTATACCCAATTTTGATTGAAAGAATCTAACAGTTCAAAAAATTAATTATAACCTAGTGAGGCTTTGACCACAAAGCCCACGTGAAAGACCCCCAAAGGCCATTGCTGCATCCAAGATCAGATCAATAAAGCAAGCCCATGTCCAAAAGAGTTCTATAATTATAAATGAGAGATTTAATACAATTCTAAATAAAGTTGCATTTTGGATTAAAAAAAAAAAAATGCGAGAAGCCAAGTCTTATTCTTAAAAAAAAAAAAAAAAAAAAAAAAAGGACTAACAAGAAATGGTTAGTAACTAGAACCGGAAATCAATGGGATGTGAAAATGTTCCAACAAAATACAAATCGAAAATATATGATGAGGAACATTGCATATATTTATTTACTTTGAAAATAGTTTTGCTAAAAAAAAAATTGATGAAGAATGTTAGACTGTAGTATAAGGAGAACGTAAGGAGCAGAATATGTGGCATGCAAATTACGTATTTATCTTAAGTTACGTGTCTATCTTAATACCTTAGCTTTAGATTTAGTATATTTTACGATTTTAGTAGTTGTATTCACTTAAAACACTCATTAGAGTAGGTTAGCTGCTATTTAAAGGAGTAACACAACTTTGTTTTGCAAGTTTGGAATAAGAATAAACAGTGAGTGTTAACCTTTCGGTTGAATTTATAAACACGGGCCAGCCTCTGTTTTACTCTGTTTTACAACGCTGAAACAGGGGCTGTTTTTTCTTGCTTTCTTGCTGCGTCAAAAATGCATAAAAGAAAATCTATCAAAATAAGTAGAAATAAACTGAATGCCATTTATCATGCTGCCAAAGCTAGATAAGTCTCCCGGAAAAAAGGGATGCATTAGCCATTGACAGCTTGTAATTCTTTCCATTCCATTGTCCTACTTATGGCTCATTTGATTAGGCCCAGGATATATAGAAACTTCTGATTAACCAGAGGATGGAAAATTTAGTCTTTCCGAATGCTTTTTTTCCTTCCGTTTTTCCCTAGATTCATGACCATTTATAGACTAAGTTTTGGTGGACCAAAACAGTATGATTTGGTTATTATGGTCGATCCTGCTATTTATGTGGTTGACGCAATTGGACATAATAGGTATGACAAAAAAGAATGTCTGTTTTCCTCTATGACTTTGTCATCTTGCTTTTCGTAGTTGCAATGTAAATAGACAGAAAGTAAAAGAAGTAAAGGGAAGGATGGAAATTCTTCCAGATGATATGATTCTGAAATTGTAAAAAGAGTGATGATGCACATGGTTCCTTGCTTTTCCATAGATAAATAAACATTGCTAATCTAAGAGTTACGGAGCCTTAAGTGTGTGAGTTAAAAAAAGAAGAAGAAGCTAATCTAAGAGTTGCAGAGCTTCAAGATGTTTTGGAGAATTACTTGAAGCATGCTTCTTTGTTCTATCTGTTCAAACAGAATACCTGTTTCATCATCTCTTGGATTGCTACTGTGGTTTTAGTGCCATTTTATACATTTCCTGTGCTATTACAAACAATTAGTCGATCTGCAGCGTTTTTAATTAAATCCTTTGTCAACATCCATTTGCAAAATGAAGTTAAATTTGAAAAGCCTTACTCGATCAGTTCTCTAATTTTATCATGAATATAACAATCTCTTTCTTGAAAGCAGAAACTTTTTCTTCAAATTTGGAGACATAAAAGGAGCCACTTGGCACCCAAATTTAGTGCATCAGAGTACAGTGAAGCATTGATATTTATTGCAGGAACTAGGAAGGGAAGAAATTATTCTAATGTGTATTTAGCGGCGGATGCAGGACCAAATATTCACGAAGGCCAAAATAAATATTTATAAATTTATCATAATTTACACAAATTTATATATATTATAAATAATATACTAACATATATTTTAAAATAGTTTCAAAATATCATCACTCAAAATAGAAGTTTTTGTTATTTTAAGTCATGAAAATCATCTATAAGCGAATCTATATTAAAATTTTCAGCAATTTCTTTTTCAATATACACTAATAAATAATTGAAAAGAAAATCATCTTTCATCTTGTTACGAAGCCTAATCTTAATTATGCTCATACCTGAAAATGACCGCTTCATGGTAGCAGTAGAAACTGAAAGAGTAAGAATAAGTGTAAACATTTTATGCACAAGTGGATAATTTTCAATTTTTCTTGTCTTCATCAACCATTGATACAAATAAGATATAATTGACAATGTTTCGAACTCAAAAATATTTCATACATGATCAAAATGCTCAAATTGCATCTTTAATTGCAACATTTAATGATTGACAAAGTCTTGAGGGTAAAATTTATACACCAATTTACAAATGTCATCAATCCTAAATGATATGCGCATCTCTCTAGGATCTAAAGTCGAACTAAGAATGAGCGAGCTCTATCGTATGATCATTGAATCTATTATTCAATTCTTTCAATTGAGAATCTATCATAGTATTGAATATGTCAACTTTGTAATGATACTCAAATGTAATTGCACTAAACATATTCATCAAGTTAGAAACGAGTTTTAGATGAGAATTCCAACGAGTATCCTCAACCTTTTTGTAATATCCCGAACTCGTTATTAAATGAATTAAAAATATATTAAGGATGTATGAAAACTATTATGTAGGCATAGGATAGTTGCCATTAGGATGATAGAATATTTTATTCGCTAAGGATAATTTTTCTATGCTAAGTGAATATTTTATCTCGTTTTTCGATTATAAATAGTAACTTTTTATACAAAATAAATATTTTGAGCATTTTAAATGTGCATTAAAAATATTCTGTTTGCATAGAATATTTGCTAGAGGGGTACCAAATTATTATATGTCATTGGATGAATTTTCGGATGTTTAGTGAATATTTTTGATGCATGAATAGTATTTTTTTTGTGCAAATTAATTATTTTGAGTATTTTAAATATGTTTGAAAATTACCCAATGAGCATAGAAAAGTCATTAAGGAGGTGTCGGAATATTTTATGAACTTAGGTAAATTTTTTGGTGTATAGAAAATATTTTCTATAAAAATAAGTGTATTTTTATACTTATTTAAGTCCTCAAATTAATTATTTTGTGTAAAAATACACTCATTTATCCATAGGTTAATTAAAATTTTAATTAAAGTATTCTTTTTTTAAAAAAATTAAAACATGAATTAGGATGGTGCTATATTGAAAATTGAATTGTGATAAAATAAAAAAGAGGATGAAAAAGTATGGCATGAATCTTTCATGGGGGGAGGGGGAATTGGAGGGGGCCAGGCCCTGTAGCATTCTACATGGGTCCGCCACTGTGTGTTCTAGTAAGCAGGCATGCAGATGTGTTCAGGGGAGAGGTAGGCCTAGAGATGTAAGAATCGAGACAGGAGGTCTACTTAATTAATAATTTGATATTTTCAAGGAACTTAAAAGAATGTCCTTAAAATGATTTCAGTATTTGGTTTTCGATTAATTGTTCATTCTGAGTTTTGCCTCATTGGCATTGCTTTGAAAGGAGTTCTCGTCTTGTTTAATCCTAGAAAGGGGCCACTGTTTGTTTGACAGGGAGAAAAAATTTTCTACTTCTCATTTCATTAAAAAGAGACCCAATTTATAGTATGTTCGAGTCAACTATGCATGAGAAGCTACTAAGCTTATATACTAAGAAAAGCAAAAACTAAAATTTCAACTAACCACTACAGCTAACTCAACTAACCAACTAATTAACTATCCAACTAACTAATATAATTAGTTACGTGCAAGGAAAAGTTTATGTGGAAGCTATGTAAGCAAACCAGAAACCAAGTAATAACCTCTAATACTCTTGCTCCATGTATGTCTATCATACTCATCTTGCTCATAAAGAACTGAAAATGTGTAGTTGTAGAGGTTTGGTAAATAAATTTGCGAGCTGCAATGGAGAAAAACCATGTTCAGATTTCAACAAGCATTACCCATGTTACTTAAGCAGGTTCCTTCCTTCCTTCCTTCCTTTCTTTATTTATTTATTTTCCTTTTTCCGTGGTTGACCGTCATAAGCCCTCCATCTGAAATAGAATACACAAACTTCCCGAGGATTCCACGTCCATTAAGAGGACAACAAATCTAAGAAGAAAATTCCCACCAAGAATCACTTCTTAAACTTTCGGAGGCCAATTGATGTTTCGATTACAGCATCATGTGTATGTA